ACTCTCTCAGTCTTTAGCTTTATGTGTATTGTGTGTATTTATCATCATCCCAGGACACCATCCTATCAGTTAATTCATAGGGTGGGAAAAACACAAACAACCCCTCCTCCAAATGTAAGATGTTGAGGTGTTTTAGCCAAATTACTAAAGCTCTCCAGATGACTGAGAACAATTTGTGACTATCTTTCATTTCATTTTACTTTAATATGAATATAACATAACATTTGTTTGAATTTTATTCTTAAAGTTCTAGCAAAGTTTTTTTTCCCCTAATGAAAGATTGCCACACTGTGATTTTTATTTGTTTTTTTTTTTTTTAAAGATTTTATTTATTCAGTTTTTCCCCCCAAAGCCCCAGTAGATAGTTGTACGTCATAGGTTCACATCCTTCTAGTTGCTGTACGTGGGACTCGGCCTCGCGTTGGACAGAGAAGTGGTGCCTCGGGGCGCTCCCGGGATCCGAACCCGGGCCGCCAGCATCAGAGCGCGCGCACTTAACCGCTAAGCCACGGACCCGGCCCTGTGATTTTTATTTGTAAGAGCGAGTACTTTAACTTTTTTCCCAATGGAACGCATTTCTAATTTAATAATGAATATTAATGAGAAAAATAGTATTTATTTATTTATGGCAATGTAAGCTAAAATACTTGTGTTTTTTTTTTGAGGAGGACTAGCCCTGAGCTAACATCTGATGCCAATCCTCCCCTTTTTTCTTGAGGAAGAGTGGCCCTGAGCTAACATCCGTGCCCATCTTCCTCTAGTTTATATGGGACGCCGCCACAGCATGGCTTAACAAGCGGTGTGTCGGTGTGCGCCTGGGACCTGAACCTGCGAACCCCGGGCCGCCGAAGCGGAGCATGCGCACTCAACAGCTTGCGCCAGCGGGCTGGCCCCAATACTTCTGTTTTAAAAAAGGGTGACTTTAAGGTTTTTTTTTAAAGAATACATAAACATTTACCTCCATTAATGGAAGGAGAAAATGTGATTACATAGGCTTTTCAGGTATAAAAAAATAAGTGTGGGCCTCCAGTATATACTATGATCCTCTGAAATTCCTTAAGCTAAAAACATTTTAGTCAGATCATTTTACACAGTCATCCTAGCATCATTGTGGCCATTTTCTGCTTATTCAACTTGAGAAAAAGCAGTAGATAGAATTTCAGTTCTTTAACTGCTGATTTTAGTGGTTGTCATGATTTAGAAAAAAAGAAGAGTAGCCTCCTTGGCACTGGGTTGGATGCTCCGAATAGACTGTGACTCCAAGCAGCGATTCTGAGTCTGCTCCAGGTATGGACACAGTGCTAACGTGAGGCTGGTGCCCATATCCCAGGAGCTCTCCAGTGCAGGGAGCAGTCAGTTGTTAGCAGCGTATGCATTACTGAGATCACAGACCCACTGGGCAGACACTAATTCTGGATTCTGTTTAGCACTTATTGCTTTGATGTTTATTATTCAAAGAGAACAGCATCATGTCTGACGTTTCTTATAACTTGTAAAGAAAAAAAATACCTCTCTGTCTTTCACTCCATCCCACCCTCTTCCCCTGGCCAGGAAAGCATTTTTCCCTCTAAGAAGTAAATGCAGCTGCCAGAGCAACTTGGGAGGGCTGAGTTGAACACCATGGACAGCGACGTGGACTTTCCTTGTACCCTCTGGTCACCCTTGCCCAGAGACCAGTGTGCTGCAGTGGGAGTGGCGTGTTCACTCAGAGAGCACCTTGCAATCTTTGATCCTTTAAATATAGGTCAATCTCTTACTCTCCTAATAGATGTCTTTTCTGTCTTCCAGGACGCATTACTAAGTTGATTTTGACACACTTGTGATGTAATACCCATGTTTTCTTTTATTCTTTTTTTTTTTTTTTTTTTTAAAGATTTTTTTTATTTTTTTTTCCCCCAAAGCCCCAGTACATAGTTGTCTGTCATAACTGCACATCCTTCTAGTTGCTGTATGTGGGACGCGGCCTCAGCATGGCTGGAGGAGTGGTGCCTCGGTGCTCACCCGGGATCCGAACCCGGGCCGCCGGCAGCGGAGCGCATGCACTTAACCGCTAAGCCACGGGGCCGGCCCTATTCTTTATGAACAGAATAAGCTGTTCTTAGAACTGAAGAAAACTAGGGCTTCTCATTGTGCCTACTCTGGGACTTCTCCTTGCTGAGGTCCCTCTGCTATCAGGAGGGCTTTCTGTGTCCTGAGTGGTGTGCCAGTGTGTAGCAATATTTCCCTCTTCGGGCAGTAGGAGAAAGTGGAGCAGGTCAGCCTATCTGCGCTCAGTCTTTTCTGTAAGCAGCATTTAAATATGTTCCTCTTAGGCAGATCCAAGACCCCTTTCATGCATTGAAGGCGCTGGCTGGTGGTGTCGGAGTGCTGTAAGGCAGGTCATGAGAACACAGCCGCCCACCCCAGGCTCACAGGGGAGCAATATGTGGGCTTGTGCTAGGAGCCTGGACACCTTGGATCTTTTCTTAGTTCTATTATTTGTCTTCTCCAAGTTGAAATCATCTCATCCTTTCTGAACCTTGTATTTTCTGCTCTGTAAAAGGGGTCAGGAGTGTTTGTCAGTAGAGCATCTATATATCTGTGCCTTCTGAGTGCTCTGGCAGAAGTTGTTTTTCTAAATCTTGGACCCTGCTTTGGCATTTAAGCATGTTTGTTGGCACAAGACTGACTAGCAGCAGCAGGGAGGGAGCATCATGTCTGTCTCACTTAGATTCTGCCCTGAGGATTCACAGTCTGTTTTCTTTTCCCTGCAGAACGAAGTACCCTATCATTGCCCAGTGATTGAGAGTTGACAGAATAAGCTAGACTTCTGGCCCACCCGTTACTTACCCTTGGCCCTTGACGAAGACCTTTCTGCTGAAAAGGCCAGTGAGCCTGGGCACCCCTGCCTCAGGAGGGCAGGTGGCTTCCCAAACAGAATGATTATTTGGGACACCACAAGACTGAGTCCCTCTTAACTAGACAGTAACTAGATAACCTGGTTGGAAATTTGATTAGCATCTTCCAGATTTTCCACATTGAGGAGGAAATTAGTACCAGCAATTTGAAAGCCTGATTTTCTGTGTTTATTACCACGGTGACTTTGCTTTTTAAACTATTAGGATTCTGCCAGGGAAAGACTTGGAAGTGGCACGAGACTGTGTTCTGCTGCAGGACAGGATGTTCTCACACAAAAGTTCTGTCCATTTCCATTTCCAGCTAACACTCACATCCACACTCATTTCCTTATGCGACTACTTCCTTGTTCCTCCTCATGGTGCGATTTCATGTATGTACATCTCCGTGTACCCCTGTATCATCAGTCACCAGCTGTGGGCCCCCAAAGAGGGGTGTAACCTTGGGTGAGGCAGCTCCCTTTGGACAAGGGCAGTTTCTGGGGAGGGACTTGCAATCTGTCAGCACCAGCACTCTGAGTGCCTCAGTCTCCAAGAGGGGGATCTGGGTGGTGCACCACAGCATCCACCTCTGCAGTGGTTCTCAGAGTGTGTCCTCTGACCTTCAGCATCCTCATCACGTGGGAGATGCCAGTGCTTGAGCCCCACTCCAGATCCACTGAATCAGAAACTCCGGGAGTGGGGCTCAGCAATCTGTGTTTTAACAAGCCGTCCAGGTGATTCTGATGCACACTCAAGTTTGAGAACCACTGCGTTATACAGTTATAACTTATTATTTATTTAGGTATAATTGACATATAATATTATATCAGTTTCAGGTGTACAACATAATGACTCGAAATTTGTATATATTGCAAAATGATCCCCACCTTAAGTCTAGTTAACATCTGTCAACAAACATAGTTATAAAATTTTTTTTTCTTGTTATGAGAACTTCTAAGATTTACTCTTAGCAACTTTCAAATATGCAATACATTATTGTTAACTATAGTCACCATGCTGTACATTACATCCCCATGACTTATTTATTTTGTAACTGGGAATTTGTACCTTTTAATCCTCTTCACCCATTTCACCTACTCCCCACTCCCTGCCTTTGGCAACCACCAACCTATTCTCTGTATCTATGAATATGTTTTTTTCCTTGTCTTAGATTCCACATAAGTGAGATCATATGGAATTTGTCTTTCTCTGTCTGACTTATTTCACTTAGCATAATGCCCTCAAGATCCATCCATAGTGTCGCAAATGGCAAGATTTCCTTCTTTTATATGGCTGAATAATATTCCAGTGTATATATACATACGTATACTACATTTTCTTTATCCATTCATCCATTGATGGACAGTTAGGTTATTTCCATGTCTTGGCTTTGTAAATAATGCTGCAGTGAACATGGGGGTGCATATATTTTTTCAAGTTAATGTTTTTTCTTTGGATAACTACCCAGAAATGGAATTGCTGGATCATATGGTAGTTCTATTTTTAATTTTTGGAGGGACCTCCATACTGTTTTCTGTAGTGGCTGCACCAGTTTACATCCCTACCAACAGTGCATAAGGGTTCCCTTTTCTCTACATCCTCATCAATACTTCTTATTTCTTGTCTGTTTGATAACAGCCATTCTAACAGGTGTGAGGCGATATCTCATTGTGGTTTTGATTTGCGTTTCCCTGATGATTGGTGATGTTGAGCACCTTTTCATGTACCTGTTGGCCATTTATATGTTTTCTTTGGGAAAATGTCTATTCAGAGCCTCTGCCACTTTTTTAATTGGATTTTTTTGCTATTGAGTTGTATGAGTTCTTTATGTATTTTGGATATTAACCCCTTATTAGATATATAATTTGCAAATATTTTCTTCCATTTGGTAGGTTGCCTTTTCATTTTGTTGATGGTTTCCTTTGCTGTGCAGAAGCCTTTGAGTTTGATGTAGTCCTGCTTGTTTATTTTTACTTTTGTTGACTTTGCTTTTGGTGTCAAATCCAAAAAATCATCACCAAGACCAGTGTCAAGGACCTTACCTCCCATGTTTTCTTCTAGGAGTTTTATGGTTTTAGGTCTTAATGTCATTCAAGTCTTTAATCCATTTCGAGTTAATTTTTGTGTATGGTGAAAGAAGGTGGTCTACTTTCATTCTTTTGCATATGTCTGTCCAGTTTTCCCCGCACCATTTATTGAAGCCACTGCCTTTTCCCCAGTGTATATACTTGGCTTCTTTGTTGTAAATTAATTGACCATATGTGCGTGGGATTATTTCTGGGCTCTCTATTCTGTTCCACTGATCTGTGTCTGTTTTTATGCTAGTACCACACTATTTTGATTACTATAGCTTTGTAATATAGTTTGAAATTAGGGAGTGTGATGCCTCCAGCTTTGTTCTTCTTTCTGAAGATTGCTTTGGCTATTCGGGGTCATTTGTGGTTCCATACAAATTTTAGGATTGTTTGTTCTATTTTTATGTGAAAATGCCATTCGAATTTTGATAGAGATTGCGTTGAATCTGTAAATTGCTTTGGGTAGTATGAACATTTTAACAATATTAAATCTTCCAATCCATGAGCACAGAATGTGTCTCCATTTATGTGTGTCTTCTTCAATTTCTTTCATCACTGTTGCATAGTTTCTCAGTGTGCACATCTTTCACCTTGTTGGTTAAAGTCATTCCTAAGTATTTTATTCTTTTTGATGCAGTTGTAAATGGGATTGTTTTCCTAATTTCTCTTTCTGATAGTTCATTATTAGTGTATAAAAATGCACCAGATCTTTGTATATTGATTTTGTATCCTGCAACTTTACTGAATTTGTTTTTTCTTAGTTCTAACAGTTTTTTAGTGGAGTTTTTAGAGTGTTCTATATATAATATCATGTCATCTGCAGATAGTGACAGTTTTACTTCTTCCTTTCCAATTTGGATACCTTTTCTTTCTCTTGCCTAAATGCTCTGGCTAGGACTTCCAATACTGTGTTGAATGAAAGTGGTGAGAGTGGGCATCCTTGTCGTTTCCCTGATCTTAGAGGAAAAGCTTTCAGCTCTTCACCATTGGGTATGATGTTGGCTGTGGCCTTGTCACTATGATGATGTTGAGGAACATTCCCTCTATACCCACTTTGTTGAGAGTTTTTATCATAAGTAGATGCTGAATTTTGTCAAATGCTTTTTCTGCATCTGTTGAGAGGATCATATGATTTTTATCCTTCATTTTGTTTATGTGGTGTATCACATTGATTTGTAGATGTTGAACCATCCTTGCATCCCTGGAATAAATCTCACTTGATCATGGTATATGATTATTTTTACTATATTGTTGAATTTGGTTTGCTGTTTTGTTGAGAATTTTTGCATTATGTTCATAAGGGATATTCGCTTGTAATTTTCTTTTCTTGTGGCATCCTCGTCTGGTTTTGGTGTTAACGTAATGTTGGCCTCATAAAATGAGTTTTGAGGTGTTCCCTTCTCTTCTGTGTTTTGGAAGAGTTTGAGAAGGATTGGTATTAATTCTTCTTTAAATGTTTGGTAGAATTCACCACTGAAGCCATCTGGTCCTGGATTTTTGTGTGTTAGGAAGGTTTTGATTACTGATTTCAATCTCCTTACTAGTTATTGGTCTGTTCAGATTTTCTGTTTCTTCATGATTCAGTCTTGGTAAGTTGCATGTTTCTAGGAATTTATACATTTCTTATAGATTGTCCAATTTGTTGGCGTATAATTGTTCATAGGAGTCTCTTAGGATCTTTTGTATTTCTGTGGTATCAGTTGTAACATCTCCTCTTTCATTTTTGATTTTGAGTCCTCTCTCTTTTTTTCTTGATGAGTCTAGCTAAAAGTTTGTTAATTTTTTTATCTTTTCAGAGAACCAGCTCTTAGTTTCATTGATCTTTTCTATTGTCATTTTAGTCTCTGTTTCATTTATTTCTGCTCTGATCTTTGTTATTTTTTCCTTCTATTAACTTTGGGCTTCATTGGTTATTCTTTTTCTAGTTCCTTGAAGTGCAAAGTTAGGTTATTTGAGATCTTTCTTGTTTCTTAATGTCTTTTTTTTTTTTCTGTGAGGAAGATCAGCCCTGAGCTAACATCCATGCCAATCCTCCTCTTTTTGCTGAGGAAGACCGGCTCTGAGCTAACATCTATTGCCAGTCCTCCT